CAGTTCTCCCATAATTCAAAACTTTCATCACAGACCAAAGGTGTATCTGCAATGATGGGTCAAAGATTTCAAGCCTTTCAACATCAAGGTAGACCAGTCCCAATTAGGCCAAGCCGTCCAAGCTGTTATGGTGAAAGTGGGCATCCTAAATAATTATTGGCCGTCCAAAAGACGGCCGGATGGACGGCCGTACGGCTCGCTAGCTAACCCTATGGTTGGCAGTTAGACGTGGCACAAGTTTATTGTATTTTTGTAGTGTTAAATAATTTCAAAGAGCACCACCAACGTTTGTTTTTGTTATGTTGTTGAATTTGGATAATCCAAGAAAAAAGTATGTTATGGAATGCCATGCAAATAAGTACAATGGAACGCCATTGGTGCCAAAATAGTTTATTTGTAATAGTTTTCACTGATCAAGACAAAATTAGGCACTGAAACCCAGTCTAGGTTGGCACTATACTCATTCCAAACAGTTGCCTGACTGACACACAGTCGAGGTTATCATCATCATCATCCCGTTGTTCCCTCATGGGGGGTTGGGTCATCTCCATCTGGAGCGATCCCTTACTGCTTCTAGGTCCTCCAATCTTCCATCTTGTCTAATGCAGTCCATTTAAATCTTTCTGGGTCTCCCTCTTGGTTTGCTCCCATTTTGCACTCTTTCTGCTGACGTCTTATCGGAACAACCTATTTACATCTCATTACTGTACATGTCCGTACCATCTCAGTCTTGTATTCCCTTATCGTAAATGACTCCACTTACATTCCTCAGGGCATTCCCAGTTTCTTGGATTCTTGCCATCGCTTCTCGTTCAATTTCTCCATTCTCATATAACCAGCTGCCTATGTAGTTGAAAACTGTTAGCTGCTCACACCGTTGATCTTACATATATTGCTATTTTTACTATTATTAGGGGTAATAATCGATTTTTATGGGGAAAGTAATAAATAGTTTTACTTGTTGCTTGTATAGCACTTTTCTTTGCTGTTACAAAGCGCTATAAGTTTTTCCCTGGTCATTGTGTCCACATGCTAACTGTAGTAGCAGGCAACCCCACCATGGACACAAGTGAAATGCACAACGAAATATTGAAACTCTGACAGCGAGGCTACTTGGTAAGCCTACAAATTATCAATAAGCTCTAATCAGAACTTTCTTTGAATTATTAAGAGAATTATCATAATACTCAAAAGCAACATTCTTCTTTAAATGTTTACAGTTAGCTAATGATATTTCTATAATCAATAACATTATCATAATCTGTTCTAGGTAGAAAGAAGTTTAGTAACAAGGAAATACAGGTAGATAACCTTTAGATCAAATATTGTCCCCCACTCAGACAATGCATTGGAAAGTCAACAGATGAATCCAAACAGAGCCAGGAATACTAAAGTTTGTTTGTTTATACAGTGCTGTCATTTTGTGTGATCTTAGCAACAATATCCACAGGTCGGGGCTTAGAAGAAAGGTCCAATGTAGACCTAACGACTTTGTAGAAATTGTTGCCTAATGTGCAAGAGGTGCTTGCTTATTTTGTGATGTTGGTTACATGATTAACCATATTCCTAAATTTGTAATGATGGAAGGATCTGACAGCCACCAATACAACAATATCCGGTTAAAACATTCAGCTTTTTAACATTTGCAACCAAACAAATATATTTGTTAAAGTTAAAATTTATTTGAAATAACAACATTTTACAATCTGAATACTGTATGCTTTCTTAAATAGTTGAACAAAACGAAATCAAGGTATTCCATATACAGAGAGGACATGAAGTGACCCTCAGGGGAGGAGAAAGTTATTGAAAAAGTGCAACATCTAGTCCCGAGCGCATAGAGACCTCGTTTTTTTGCAATCTATAAATCCATCTATTATTATTATTATATTCTGTATGTAAGAAGAAAAAAAAGCATGATTTGAAAAATTTCTGTATAATATGCATTCATTATGAAAATTATAAAAAAAAAAAGTCTGTACAAGCAAATGCATATTCAATATAACAATTGTATACAATATCATTAATTTAATTATTTTTTGTACTTATAATTTGCAGCCTGATTCATTGTAGTTGTCAGGTATTGATGCTAAAAGACAATAGAGTCATGGCAGTGACAATTAAAACTTGCATTTGATTTTGTCTTGCATCATTTGGCTCTTTCAAGAAATTGGAGTAGGGTGTTCCTTCTGAAGACAGCCTTCTTGTGATTGTTGTCATCGGTTCTGATTCTGGAACTTCTGAGCATGTAGCAGTCTGTCGTGGATAGGACTTCGCACCTTCGTACCAGTTCTCCCATAATCTAAAACTTTCATCACAGACCAAAGGTGTATCTGCAATGTGAAAGTTTATTAATTGCGAATTGTGTGAAAACAGATGCGAGACATTCTTTAGGGTTGAGATATTTGTCCGCATGAGATCCAAGAACCTTAACTGTGCAAGGTGATTTAATGCTCCAGAATGAATGGATATTAATCCTGGGTTGTTGCTGAGCTTCAGTTCCTGCAGGAGTGGCATTTCCTTGAATGTAGCATGTGGCACATAAGTAATATCATTGTTTGACAGATAGAGATGGGTCAAAGATTTCAAGCCTTTCAACATCCCAGAGTTAATTGTGGTCAGCTGATTGTTCTGAAGAAAGAGACGCTCAAGTCTTGACAGCTCCTGGAAGGCCATTTCTTGGATTTTGTGCACTTTATTGTGGGAGTGGTCCAGGTACAGCAGTGTTTTATTTAATGGGTCAAAGATCTTTCGCTGAATCTTTGTAAGTTTATTTCCAGAGAGGTACAGGTATTTAAGCAATGTCAAGCCTTCAAAGGTATCTGTTTTAATATTAGTTATGGCATTGCTATCCATAAAGATCTTAATTAATGCGCCACAGTTTTCGAAGACTTTTGGTGAGATTGAGGTTATCTTAGCTGCTCCAAAATCAAGCGTTCCCAAGTTTGGGTAGTAATCATTAATATGTGTTGAAAACCTTTCCAGGTGATTGTATCGCATATCCAGATGTTTTACTTCAGGGCAGGCTTGTCTCGGAATATCTTGCATGTCAAGCTCCTTACAGTTGAGGGTTCCAGTTTGTTGGTCGAACTGACAACCGTCTTGCAAACCGCAGATGTTTAACTGTCCTCGCACAGCAGAGAAGCAGAATACTTGTGTAGTATCTATGGTGATGAGCATGTACATCACCAGCCACTTCACTGGACACCTCATGCCACTGTATTCCTTGATTGATGTTATTGTGAGCAGATATCTCATCTTTGCTGTCTGTTGAGTATAAAAAAAATGAGCTTGCTAGAGTATAGTTCTGAGGTTTATGCACATAATAGGATGATGATGATGATGAGTGAACTCCCTTTGTACCATTGGTTGTTGTTAATAATAATAATAATAATAATAATAATAATAATAATTATTATTATTATTATTATTATTATTGTTATTATTATTATTATTATTATTTATATAGCACATTTTCAGATTTCTGTTAAATGTGCTTTACATGAAAAGATGTTAACATACAATATTAAAATAGGAAACATTATACTATGAAATTACAAAATATTATATATAATAAGACTACAAGAATTTATTATTATTAATTACATCATTAAGATAATTAAAAATTTGAAAATTCACAATAAACAAAATAAATATAGGCTGAAGAATAACCTAACAAACTATACATGGATTAAAGAATAAGATAATGCTTGCTTTTGTTTTGTTTTTTTGTTGTTTTTTTTTTTGGCTAATTATGCTGTTGTATCACTATGAAATTATTAGCACTGTTTTAGTCATCTACAATTCATGGTTAAACTTAAAGCCAATAATTCAAAATATATGTGTAACTAACCATTACATACCTTAGTCTTACCCTGGATTTCACAGTCAGTTGGAAAATAGCGGTGCTTATTCGATGCAAAGCTGTTTTGTCTGTAAACCTGCTTTGCTTCAGTGCACCCCTTTGTGCTAGTCTGTTTATCTGTCTCTCTCATATCAACCATTATTATTTAAAACCTGGACTTAACTGGAAAGGTCGTAAATAACAATTACAGGAAAAACCCCTTTGAATCCCGCGTTGCTAGTTATTTTAATACAGATTTTTCGAATTTCTAACACCTAAACTACAGTAGGGCATTTTGAGTAAATAAAATGCTGACAGATACTGTACTTTATTACTAATTCAAGCCGCTGAATTCAAATATTCTATCTGCCAATCCAAATTTTTATGCATAATTTTATCAAACAATTGCAAAAGTTTACCCAATAGTGTTATTATAAAACTGGTTGTCACTGCAAACTTCAATTTTAATATATTTGGTATCTTTTATAAGCTTTTAAATCATGTATAATATGAATGCATTGTTGTTTTTCTTCATCATACACCAATATACACAATTTGATAATACTAAAAGCAATTAGCTTTGTTTTCCTGTGTTACTAATGATGTGCTATGCCATTTCCATAAATAGATCCGAAACAAAACAATTAACAATACTCTTTAAATACCAATGTGGATGCGTAATTTAGTCGCTTCATGATTTTTTTTCTCTAAATATAGGCCTATATTAGTATTAGTGAATCCTGACACCATGAGCTGTAAAGTACATACTGCTGACTGGTAAATACCTAAAATAGAAAAAATCTAAATAAATTTGAATAACAATAATATTGTGGGGCAAAGCATTTCATATCCCTTTTTACCATACATGCCAACTTTTTTTGGCTAGAAAATTTCAAGATTTAGGTATTTATATCCCGATTGAAAATCGTACACCCAATTTTTATTATGTTCTGTTTTCAACAAAATCCATGCTGTCCCAGTAGTGGGTTTGTTTTCAAAAAACAAATCTCTGATATAATTTCAGTTAATTTTTAGATCTGTCATTTTAAGTTCCCCTATGATATACAAACAGCTGCCTAGGCCTAGCTGTACTTGTACTATAACTTTGTTCTAGGCCTATCTCACATGATCCAGTAATTTTTTTTTTTTTTTGTAGAGAAGTACAAAAGTACAGGTTTGAAGTACGACAATCAAGTGAAGTCAAGTTTGCTGTGCAGGTGTTCACTGCTCTTAATAGCAACAACTATGTTTGCTTTTTTAAACTTGTAAAGTAAGTAGTATGAAGGGATAAGTAACAGGTCAAAAGTGAGTGTGGAAAGATTCACCTATAACTAAGATATGATAGTAGTGTAGTTTAAAGTTATATACATTTTTAAAGGTTAAATTATTTATAGTATTTCTATCTTTTTTGTGTTGTTTTTTGGAGTGGATTTTTATAGCTTGGTAAAGCTATGTTCACATCAAGCCCGTACAAAAAATTGTGAGTTGCTACGTTTTTTTGAACGCTGCGTTCACATCGCGCACGTAACAGTTGTTCGGGTTAAGTATGTATGCGTTCGATTGGTTTGAACCAACCAAGCTTGTTGCTGATTGGTCCAATAATAAAGAACGTACGATTTCTGGATACAAATGGCTCTCAGATCCATCAGTCCAGATTTGGAGTCCGGATTGAAAATCGTACAAATTTGATGTGAATGGTCCTATTCTTTACCACTGAACCCATTTTTTACGATTTTTTCTCCGGACTCTGGACTGGAATCAGGGCTTGATGTGAACGTAGCTTTAAAATGGTTGCCTTCCAATCCCAGGGTTCTGGGTTCAATTCCTGTGACAGCATGATTTCCGTGTTGGAGAACATTAGATTTGTACTGAACAGGTTACCAAGTGTAAAAAAGACAGAAATTTAATTAGATTTATCTGAAGTACTGTCCACACTAGCTTTATGATTTGCCCATATTATGTGTGAGATATTACATTATGCCCATATATGGATAGGCTGTTCGCACTGTGTTTTTGGGGTCAAAGTGACAAGGTTAGTTTACCAAAAATTGTCCAGGGCTTTGGTAAACCCCAAGATGTTTTTAACCTTACAGATCCGCTACATACCTGAATGCCTGTGTTCTGCACCGGTATTTTACACAAATCCGAAGCAGTGCCCTCGAGACCATGGTGAAGGCATATAGTACTGCTCGTGGCGGATCTTACCCGTTGATTGATTTTGTGCGACAGCTTATCTTTGAGGATGAGAAAGAGGTTTGTAGCACCTATATGATCAGTAAATAAAGCCAAATCGATTTATGTGTGCAATTCTTTCACACACAACACACTCACTTGTGAGCTTGTGTGTATGATTGTAGGGGCATAGGCTAGTATCAGCCTGGGGACAGGGGATGTGAATGTGAAAATTGAGAATGTGGAACTAAATCCCTATTCCAATGAAACTTAATGGTCATTTTTAGTAAATTGTAACCCACTTAGTGGAACTAATTTGCCACCATGAGATGGCTCGTCCCAGACGCAACCAATTCCTGGATGTTTTTTTTCTGAGGGAGTTGGGTGCAAATTGAGGAAGGATTTGGTGATTTTGTAAACAGAAACATATTGCTTACTTTTATACTTGTAAGACAAAACGAATGTTTAGTTTTATTTAGCCTTATATTACACCCTTGAAAATGAGCTTTAAAATTCTACATTTGGCCATAGGTACAATTTGTAGTTTTAACTAAGAAACATAGAAATCCTGTATTTGAATTGCTTCCATTGTTTATTTTAGTAAAGTTCTTGGTTTTAAATTGAATATTAAAGTCAAAAAGTATTTGTATTGCCAAGTAGTTACAATTGATGTGCTGTTCACAATCTTTTGTTTGGATACTTCAATTAAATTGGCTGGTTGGGAGATTAAGGACTTTTATAGTAAAATGTCTGTTTACTGAAAATAGAATGGTTGTTGATCTGTATCTCATTGCAAGTTGATGTAATAATATATCGATTGTGGTAAATTATTTTGGGGCCTTCCCCAGTAGATTTTAATGATAGTTTGTTTATTTTTATATTAATGTGTAATTCAATCAGGTTATATACACATGACAGCACACATAGTGTGATACAGTATCTCACTATTGTCATAGAGGATATATATTTAAACTATTTTAGTATTGATAAATATTTTTTTTAGAATTGTAAAATTTCATTTCAATGGAAAATTTTCAATAAATGTTAAAGGTTATTCATTTATATTGCGCAAAATACGAGAGTTTCTATGCGCAGAAATAGTGTAATTGTTCAGGTTATATAAACATAGTGTGATACATTATCTTACTCTTGTCATGGAGGACATATATTTTAGTACTGATAACTATTTCCTTAGAAAAGTAACATTTTCCTTTTAATGGAACATAAAAAATATGTATATTAGCAATAAAAAAAAGAAATGTATGTATGTAACTAAGAATTATAACAGAAGATATAAAATTCTTTTTTTTTTGTTAAAGTTCAAGTACATTTTGAGATATATTCTCCATTGCAGAATATTAAATGTAGGCCTATAGCCTGGTACTCATATGCGCAATAATAAGCCTTGGAAAAAATGTTACATTGGTAAAACAAGGATTGGATCCATAGTTTTAGAATTAACAGCCATGTCAACCACCATTCCACCTACTCTACAAACACTACACCACAAAAACCTATATGATATAGGTGCAGATCTATATTATATAGGGAAGGGGTGGATCCAGCTTGTTAAAAGGGGAACATGAATGTGTAAGCGGAGTGTCTTGGGGCACAGCCCTGATATAGGTACATCAGACACCTTCTCATGTACAATTTTCTTTTGCACACACATACAGTTGAGTTATGGGTAAAGCTAGAAAATATAGCTTGTGAATTGCAGGTGGGAATCTTATCTTACGTACAGTTATTCTATTCTAATTAGGTTTGCTGCATAGCACAGTAAACACAATATGTACACACCACAACACAAAAATAGTGGTACCGACGTAAAATGCAGAGACAACGACAATATTAGTAATATTATTGTCAGCTTTAACCCTGTGTTTCCTTGCATTACTATAGGCATCCGATTTTTGTGCCTCTCATGGGCTTGAGGTTACTAATGACGACATCATATTTGAAAGCAAATCTTCTTTTGTCCGGCCTAGTAGTGCCATAAGTGCCAGGAGGGCAGTGAAGCTAATTGAGGCCAAGAATCCGCTTAGCATCGGACAGGTAATTATGATGTCATATACCCATGTACAGCCAAATCACATGCTTTTGTCACATACAATTTGATAGTATGGGTATAGATTTATGGAGTCATACTTAGACCTGGATGTGTCTGCAACAAAAATGTTCAAGCATTTTTAGGATTTTGCCTTATACAGTACCTTGGGATAGGAAGTTAATTAATGAAATCCTCAAGCAAATTAAATATACAATTTTTACCCCTTTTATTTTCTTCATTTAGGTTGTAAATAACCGACAGCCCTTGCCCCCACTAGAACAACATATCCAGATGACTAGTTTTGATTCTGAAGGAAAATTTATCGGACAACACAAGATGATTCCTGGTGAGTTCTTAGTTTTTTAAGTATGGTTTCATGAGACTGGATTGCTTTTGAGTTAACCACAAGATGGACAGCAGTATTTTGAACATGTTCATTGAAGATTGATTGGCAATCTGTAATATTGCCTTATTTTGATAGCCAGTTTTCCATCAGGTTTTAACTTGACTGAACCAAGATTATAAATATGAAGCACATAGCATAGATTTTTGTTGTTGAATGGAATCTTTGATATTGCATAACCATGAAGAAGTCTAGAGTGTAAGCCCCATGTAAGGTGGGAGATATAAAGATTGCCAATAACAACATATTCAACCATCAAATTTACTTTGTGTTGAATTATAGGCATGAGTTGGTATTGTAAATTACTAATATATACTTGGTCTTTCGAAATGAAATGAACACAATAGCAGTAGCATGACGCCTTTTTTTTGTTATTATAGACGTTTATTAATTGGCAGAAGAATGTTATCATTTGTTGTTTCTGTTATCGTTTATTGTTAGTTGTTTGTACATCTCATTCATCCTAGTTTAATATAATATTCTTATTTTTACGGATAACTTTCCTAATTATAAGAAAGTATAATACATACTCCAAGTATACACGCCATCGTGTTGGGATTCAATATTTCGACATTAATTATGTCATCATCAGGAATGATTATTGTCAGTAAATTTGCTGCAAAGAGCAAAATGTAATTTTAAAAAAACTATATATCAAATCGTTTTGTGTGTATGATTTCAGTTTTTTAGTCACTAATATTTTTTTTGTTTTGTACATAATAAGTAAATTATGAATAAAAATTATTATTTTTTAGCAGTAACAGTAGAGGTAGTGGCACCAATTGTGGGGCAGCTTCAAACCATGCAAAAAAAAGAAGATACTAAACAACCAGAATATACAAATGAACAGGTGATTTATGTAAATTACATTAATGTTGCTGAAGGTAACCAATCAGGACCATGTTGCTCATGTTTTCACAAAGTATTATTTTCTTGACATTTATTTATTAAAGCAATATTAATTTAGTTGAAGACCTCCTCCATCATTTGGCAATTTAAAAGATGTATTTGACCAATCCAATAAGCTATGTGCTTGCAATCAAAAGATTTTTTCAACATTACCTGCTTCTACATTTTTGGATTTTGAGTCTGTTGACGAGGTCAAAGAAATAATATTGTTTTAGTCCTTATTATTATCTTAATCATCAAGCTACACTTCCTCCTGAATGATAACACTAAATACCTCATTATCTAGATAAAAATGACCAAATGAATATAAATTTTTTTTTTTGTAAAGGTAAAGGGAGTAGCGAAAGAACTATTTATTGAAGTGATCAATGAGATGTGTGTGGAGCTTAGCACAAGATTATTTAGCGTTCTTAATCATCTCATGAAAGAAGAAGCTCCTCTGATCCTGGAGAATTTGTTGCATGAAGTGACGGGACGTATGATACTTGATACTGCCTCTGTGACGTATGAACAAGAACTGCTTGAGGAGCGGCAAAGGTCAGATACTTGTTTTATGTTAGAAATTAACCCCCAAAAAGATATTTTATATTTATTAATAAATTAGCTTTTTAGCATGTCCCAGGGAATAATAATTGTTGTCTGATATTATTTCTGAATAATGATTTTTAAAGCTTTGCTGAGTTTATACAATAAGTTGATTTAGAACTTTTTGAAGCCTAGACACAGGCTTGTAACCGGTAAACCAACTTTGTTGCACAGACATATCATAAAACCTCGAATTGAAGCCCAGTGGGCTTAATTAATCTCAAGATGAAGCCCATCTCTAAGTGAAGCCCTCTTCTTTAGTTTGCAAAATTAGCCATCACATTTCAAAAAGAAGTCCATGGGCTTCTTTTCAAGATAGCATAGACTTCTTTTTGAGATAGTACAGCACATACACTGTACATGAATTTCAGAAAACAAAATAAATTAAATACAAGCTTGTTTATATAAAGCAGTTTAGGTGATTTAATGACAGATAAATACACTCCATTGATGTTACAGTGGCCTTATTTATTGTTTTACAATACAAATTCACAAAATTTACAGATTCATTTTGAAAAGAAGCCTTCCTCTTATTTTGCAAAAGTAGTCTTGAAAAGAAGCCCATCTCGAAAAAAAGCCCATTTAAAAAAAAGCCCATCAAAAGTTAGCAAAAAAAAAAAAAAAGAAGCAGCCTACGGCTTCAATTCAAAGTTTATGGTATCATTCATACATGCTGAGAGTGATGTATTGGCATCTAACTTTGGTCGTGTATATCTTGTTTTAGTGATTCATTGTGATGCACTGCTGTATTCTATTGTTCACTATAAAATTGATGTCCTGTTCAAATGTTTACCCAATCAATCATTCAGTCAATCAATCAATCAATCAGTTTATTTTATCTGCATCAGTACTTAGCTTGAATTGGGTACCGTGCTATATTAAATACTGTATAACTCATTTGTGTAATAATACTACAATAGTAAGTCTTAGAACTAGTCACTTTCAATGTTTACTTAATATAAGTAGGGACTTTTAGGTAATATTTCCAGAAAGGTTATCACACAAATGCATATGCATATAATGTTTACCTTTAGTATGAATTTATGATGGGTTATGCCACATTGTTAATAGATTAGTGGGTATACACTACCTAAAGTTATAAATAATCAGCTTCTATTCTCCTGAAGAAGTGTCCTATTTGCATGAAAGCTAGTGTATTGTCAATAAAACTAGTATTTAAAGTACTTCATATCCAGTGTTTTTTTACCGAAAAACCCCCTAAAATTTGTGTAACAATTGAGTATAGAATAAACATACAATCCTTCTTTCACTTGGTTGAACTTGAAAAGAAAGAAAGCTCTCAATTTATTGTCCGTAGTAGTTAAAATAGCCTTTATCTAAATATGTCATCATTTTGTGTAACATGGTGTACTTGCATTTCTTTAATGAAGACAAACATTTTTATGTCAAAATGTATGCGTAATGTGTTATTGATAAATAGTTTTATTTAGTTTCATACATTACAATAAGTAATCAATTAGTCATAAATAATCTTTCCTTTTTAGTTTTGTCCATGGGAAAATGGAAACTCTCAGTAGAGAATAGCATTGGCTTTAATAGGGTGTTTATAATATTTATTTAACAATTTTAGCAAATAAGCACTGATTATCACTCGATAGATGAATTGACTTGGTAATTTCCTTATTCTTTCCCTTTTTACCTCATATCCTTCTTCCAAAATAATTTTTATTTCCTTCTAAAAATCCAAACTATATTTTATTTCCTCTTATCAGTTGATAAATTAGGTTAATGAACATTTGGTTGCTAAGTGGTTGTAGATATAAAATATAAGTTCAAATTAATATTCTTAGTATATGTTGGTTATATTTTGTTATTTCATTAATTTTCCACACCCACATTCAAAAACTTAAACTTGTCTCACACACACAATTATTTACTGTTGACAAGGCCTGTTACAAATTAGGTTAATGAATATTTGATTGCTAAGTGGTTATGTATATATAAAATATAAGTTCAAATTAATATTCTTAAATATGTTGGTTATATTTTTTCATTTCATTAATTTTCCACACCCACATTCAAAAACTCAATCCTTTCTCACACTCACAATTTTTCAGTGGCGTATCTAGTGGAGGGCACGCGCCCCCCTCCCAAAAAAATTACTAGCCGCCCCCCCCCCCCAGAGGCCCCAAAAATCACGGTCAAGTAGTTAAAAATCACCTAAAATCCCCATATTTTGTGAATTAGCATCCCCTCAACTGATCATCGAGGGCCCCCACTTCACCTTAACTCCCTCTCTCCCTCCCCCATCAGCCTCCCCTTCATTTCAAGACTTCTAGATATGCCACTGCAGTTATTTACTGTTGACAAGGCCTGTTACAAATCTAAGACTTTTCACCCTTCAGAATAGGTATGAAGCCTTGGCTCTGTCCACCTAATGGAACAAAGTTAGTGGATTGTCACCCAGTGTACTGACTAATTTAGTTCTTGGTTGTGTTTCTGTCTCTGTATATGCACTGTGCATTGGTTTGTGTTAGTGAAGTGTATTTTCATTTACAAAATTATTTCAAATCATATCCATATATGAGCATAATGATGTCATATCACACCCTTGAGCAAATCACCAATGCTTTTCTCACATGACAACTTGACAATTTGAACATAGCTTTGCTGTTATATTCATAATAATATAAAAACTTATTTTATTTGTGTAGAATTGAAGAAAAAAAGGAGCAGATTGCCAATGAGATTCGCAATGAAATTGTTAACAAAGCAGTTGCAGAGGAATTATTGTGTATTGCTACAGAACTGGACAGGTCAATATTTAATAACTTATGATTTAGATTTATTTTTAAGCCTTTGAATCATTCAACATACATTTCCTTTCCATTTTATTGCATTATTTTTAAAGATATATTTTCCCCTGAAACATTTGTAAAAATTCACTAATATGTATATTCAAGTTGAATGATTTTTATGATTCTTTTTAGTATTCTTCATGGGACAATATGTCTTTAAGTATAGGCTTCTATAGAAAAAAAAACAGACATAAATGATCCCTCATTCAAATTTTTAAATTGTAAAAAAAAAAATTGCAATAGGTTTTACTGGTATAACACAGTATATGAAGCAGTATCCCTTTTATATCATGTGTTACAACACAACACCAACTCTGACATTACAACACAGACATGCATGCCTATCATAACATATATTTTTCCTTGGACATAGCACACAATAGAAGAGAAATTTAAAAAGAGTTATTTTACTGAGTCTAGTTTTAAAGTCCAGGACACTCAATAAGCACATAGCATATTGGGTACTGTACACACATAGGTTGTGGGTTGGGCTGTGTAAAGGAGTGGGATTTTGATAAGTTTGATAGATGTTGCTGAATAGAAAATGGTGAAAAAAAAACAGTGCCAATATAGTTAAACATCTGCAAAACATTTTATATCAAGCATGAGACAGGGTACACCCTGTAAATGTCACTATGAAGTGGTGGCCATTTTAAATCCACACTAAATTTGTTGTCTGCGTATAGAGAGGTGAAATTGCAGCTGAAACAAGCGTCAATCACCCGCACAACGTTTTCAATACATCTTGACATTGTTGAAGAAACGTTGCAGGAAGAACTGCGAGGAATCTCATTAGACACCTACGCAGCTGCCATTGAAGCCAGAAGACAGAGACTTGCTGAGATCCAGCAGTGCGTGGAGCTCATCAGGGTTGGCAGATACTTCGAGAAGTATGCATTCTATATTTCAAATATTCTTTAGTGTGATGTACTGTTGTATCATACTCAGTTCTTTCGTTCATACAGGGAGTCTGAGAAAGGGGGAGAGATAGTGGAATGAGATTGAGTGGATGAAGAGGTCGAATAAGAGGATGGAGAGAGAGGGAGAGGGAGGGAGGAGAATAGAGGCTTCTTTGAATAGAATTGATCATAGAAGACAGGTCTACCAACTCAACATGCACATTAACCTAGTCTTTGTATTAGCTTCCCTTTCAAGATACTGCCATGGTAAAATTAGGAAAACCTCAAAAATTTACTGTTGATAAAACTATTCCTCATGTAAAAAGATCAAGTGGAGTGAACAACCATCTTTTATATTTAACATGATTAATTAAAGATAAAAGCTGCTTAAGACCATGACTGGTCTTTAATTGGAGGAAGACCTGATATTCAATAACAAGAACATGCAACTCAAAACCTTACTAATAGTTGTATCGTCACCGACACCACAGAGGCACAAACTTTTAAAAAATCATATTTTTTCAATTTATTTTTTCTTTATGTAGATCAACCTCCACCTTTTCATGTAAATGTTAAGAGTGCAATTACATTATTTAGTTGATTAGATTAATTAGCCATAGCACACAAAAAATAAATTTTTTTCGTTTTCACAAACAGACACAAACTTTCAGAATACATGCGTGCAGCGTTACATTTGTTGTGATTGGGCAGATAAGGCCTGGCTGGGGCCTATACACATGCACCAAGTGTGGAATTATTAGTAAAAACATAATGATTTAAGCAGGATAAGCCTAGTTTGTAACCCAATAGTCACCCTTGACTACAATGGTTAACACAAGCTAAACTATAGTTTGTGTACAGCTCGTAAAATGAGATTTTCGTTTTCACAAAGAGACGCAAACTTTGCTGTACGTGTAAATAACCTATGCTGGGTTTATTTTTATCGTTTTCAAGGACACAAACTTTGCATGCTAATTAACAGGCTAAAGTTAAGAAAAGAGAAGTAATTTGAACATTTGAATTGTTTAATACTTTATCTTTAAAAATATTTTTTTTAAATATTTAAAATTTTGATATCTTGATAGTAAAATTTACGGTTTTGTGAAGTAGTCTACAACAAACACATTTTTCTCAAAATGTTGTTTTGGTCGAAATTGAAGTTTGTGTCTCTAAATGAAAATACTGATATTTATTGTATTTTAATTAGGTGTGTTCTAACCTTCGTTCTTGCATAGATTTTACAGTATCATTCTTTTACTTATAGATGGAAAAATGCATATGCTGCACGAATTCGTCTAAAGAGGGCAATGTATGAATTCCCTTCAGCACCTGCAAGTACATCGTTAAAGGGACAGATAGAAACATTGCTGCCATTTCGTTCTTCTGTGTCGCCTATACTGGATGGAAATACAATGCTTGTTGGGAAAAAAGCAAAGATGTCTTTGGAAACACCTGTCAGGTAATACAAAGCTTTTTGTCACAATGACAAGAAGAACCTAGGGTGGATTGACTCATGTTACGTTCTTTGTAAAATGTAGAGTAGACCCAAACTAAGTTCTAGAATTTAGAGGGTAATGGGTCTTTTGGCTGTCTATTAAGAGCTAGGATTAAAAAGAGTTCTGTTGTGGTAGCTAAATTGCTTGCCTAGCATCCCAGGGCCTTAGGCTCCAATCTTTGTATCGGTATTTTTATTTGGAATCTCTTTGGAGACTGGTTTTAATGAAAATTACATAGGTAGGTTCTGTAATTAGTTATATTGAAGCCTGGCAAATACCTTGTCAGCCAACGGTCGTTTGACTCCGTGTGACAAACTCATCCTTGGAGTGTGTGATTATTTGCCTGATGCAAGTCAGTCTGCTGGTAGTTGGTAACAGTCTGAGCAGATGGTCATCAGAAACAGATTGTGACAATTACCTCGTGCAGCATTCCACATGGAATCGAATCAGTTTACACGGTATAAGTTTCATAGCAGTTAAGTGCAGAAAAAAGACATTGAAAGGTGATTTGATATAAAATAACAATGTCAAAATAAATTTCAGTGACAAAATTATTTTCAATTTTTTTTAGATTCTAAACTTGTGTATTTTTCTGTGTGTCTTGCTAGTATCATTGAAAGTAGGACCAGCCTAGCTCAAAGCATTCTTCAGCATCATTACCTTTCCTATCATCAGCAACAGAAGGCCTGGGCCCCATTTGAGTTGCCCACCATCTTAGGTCAGTCCCTCCACCAGTCAGACGCAAGCATCTCCAACCAAAGCAGCAGCCATATTTACTGGAAACTTGTAGTCTCCCTACCAGAAGATGAACAGCAAACATCTGGTGATGCAGAGATCATGTGTGATTGGTTGGAGGCTAAGTTTACAAAAGGAAAGATCGATGAGAATTTCAAAAAAAGTGTTCTCATGGATAGCAACAAGGTAAATGTTGCTCTTCGTAGTGATGATGATGATGTAGATGATGATGAAGCTGAAGCTGATGATTATGATGATGAAGATGGTGAAGATGATGATGATGACAATGATAAGGATTATAAACATGGGGGTTGTGATGATGAAAATTGTGATATTTTGTGATGTTGATCACAATGATTATACAGTATTATGAGTAATAGGATAATGTTGTGTGCTGATGGTATGATGAGGGCTTTAGCCCTGATGATAATGATTTTAGTGAAGATAGAGCCAATGACAAAAACAGCCAGGATCATAGTTGAGATGATGGTAAAATCAGTGATGATGATAATATATTATTTAAGTATTAATATTTTCCTCTTTTTTTTTCAAAAATTTCTATTATTCTACTCGCAGGTGAACACACTTAGTCTCTACACCAGTTCTATTAACCACCGCGGTTACAACAAAGATGAGTTGTCAATTTGTGTGAAGTGTGTTTATGGTGAACTTGAACAACCTGTGGTGGATCAGGCTAAACAGCACCACCAATTCCTTGGGACATCTGCAATGATCCTGGCCTTGGAGAAGCCAATTGCTGATAATGTTAAGGTGAGGTCATCAATAAGGGGAATTCTCATGTGGTCATGTGATAGTCTTAGGTCATAGGAAGCATGTACATCTAAATAAGGCAACACATGGCATTGCAAGTGTTCAGCAATATTGATTAATACAGGCACAATGGTATAATGTTGCATACATAGTGCTTTTGGAACCGGGGTTTCAATGGTCTTTAGCAGCTTGGTCTCTAATTACTCTTAATAATAAAAATAAAAGACATTTGTTAACATGGGACCACAGATTGTGGAGTTGAATAGCTTAGTGGTTAAGATGCTTGCCTTCCAATCCCAGGGTTCTGGGTTCAATTCTTGTCAGTGTTGCAGGATTTTTTCTCACGATCAAAACAGCTCCACTCCCTAAATCTCATATGGAGATTTAGTTTGTGTAAACCATCGTGTGTGTATGTTTGTCTTGTGTAAGGGATTGTCACCTACAAGTAAGACAGTGATATATTCGCTATTGACAATCCTTGGCACATGTACTGTGTGCCTAAATAAATAATAATAATAATAATAATATATAATAATAAGATTAATATGGTGTTTAATTGGAGGTATTTAACTAGAGGGAGACCTGAATTTAATGTAGAAATAAAACAATATGCAGTTAATTATAACATTTTTATAAAATAATGGGGATTTTTACTGTACAGCCGTCCCATTGCAAACAACGTAATTGTCATTATATTTTTGTGCAGTTATGTTGTTTTGCCTTGCAACAGCTGTGTAGTTATGGTGTTTGTGATAAGCTTCTCGTATAAATTATGCAAGTCATGTATATATATTCATCTTGCTGATTATGTATATATACTTATGAATTACTATTATGTATATTTTGTACTACGAAATAGACCAGTTAAAATTTAATTGCTTTTATTTTCAGTATTACTGGTTGTTAGCCCAATTGCGATTAAAGAATATTCTTCAAGCCAAGCCTCTGTTACCTGCTATCCCATTGTTAGTGTGTCTGCTGGGATGGGCCTGCAGTCTCAGTGTCTGTTCAGAAAAGCTAGGCTTACAGGAGTTGAAAAGTGAAGGGTTGCTTTCAGCCTATAAGATACAGTGTATCACAGCTTATATACTTAAGCCACGGACAAGTGAATTGGTTAGCTTACAAACTTTTTACTCAATTATGGTTTAGTTATGACATTATAGATGCAAATGTTCTTCTAGTTGCACTTTCAAATATATAAAGCTAATATACATAAATATAGTTCAGTGATGTATAGTTCATCCTGATATAATTCAATACTTGAAAACCCATCTTGTAGTTTCAACTTCACATGTGTATGTTAAAGGTCAGTGCATACAAAGAATCTCAGTGAAGTCTGTAAATCAGCAAAAACATTTATTAAGACTACATTCTCTTACGTAACCAAATTTGTTTAAGTGTTTTTTGAAAGGCCTTTACACAATCTCTGTGCCTTTATATGATATGATTAATAATAGTAAATTTCTCATACCTTTAGACAAACTCACTCTCTGTAATGCTGCACCTCCCATGCTATTACTCGCAGTTAAATAAGAACGAAAATTAAAATAAAGGATATTATTATTAAAGAGATCTGTACAATTCATAGAATTATTATTTTTTTTTTTTGCTCTAGTTGTCGGAAGGTGTTGATTGGTTAGCCTTACATCAACCAAAGCCACCATCGTTAAAACAGTTGCCGTTGAGGTCCTTCATTGACCACGGCTTGATGCTGTTTTTTACTACTAGTTTGTATGAGGATGTCAAAGAACGCAAGAGAGCTGGAATTTCAGATCAAGTAAGTCAATATCATCATATGTGTCAATCGGTGTGTTGGTCTGCATCGCCATTTGCATCCACTTCAACAACATATTACCAACACTGTCATTGTCATAGACATTATTGTTAAGAATCTTTCTCATCCTAATCATTATCTAACATCTCGTTTGTTATTATTGTCCTTATGATATCTAAATTGCTCATGGAATCACAATGGAAGATCTACAACCAGACATCTGCAGGTTACAGTTGAAGATACATGTTTTAGGAGTAGGTCAACTGTAGTGGTGTTGTTGCAGATTTGGACTCGATATATGCTGAATTGGTTCACCACAGCATTGGTGCTTTTATCTAAATCTAGCTAATATTTGAATATTTCAGAATCCAGAGCGCGTTGTTGAGCTGTACAATTCAGTGGTTTGTCACCTGTGTCAGGTTGCGACTTCACCTCATCTTACTGCCATCTCGTGGCCTGTGGCAGAATTTGCTATCAACAATCATGAATCAATTGGTAATGAATGCACCATTGCTGATTGTTGTCTTTAATTGTAACAGATGTTCATTAGTTTGGTAATGGCCAATTGTATATAATAATTATGATCTAATTTTCAACATCTTTGTTGTGAATCATATATTTACTGGTAGTGAATGCAAGATTGATCATTTTATTGCAACCACCCTGCCCCAGTGCCCTAGTTCCATATTTTATGATATGCCATTTGGGCAAAGACAGTACTGTGCTAGAACCTGCTACCAAGCATGTATATGTTATTATTATTTAATAATTTAGAAAACTCTGTATATTTATATAACCCTGTTTTAAAAAGGATGAAGCTTGCATCAAGGCTGTTTTGGTTAAAATACAAAGAAAAATATTTACAGTAAGAAATTTATGGTTAAATACATAATGATAAATTAATTAGGAAAAGCAACATACCAGGATGAATGGAAATTAGGACAGAATCACTCTGATAATAGATTAGATAAAGTATTTGTACCAGCAGATGTGTATTTCATAGATGTGTCCATTTTTTATTATTAGATGGAGCGCATCTAGACTGGAACTCTGATTCACAAATGCTGAGATTAAAGTCAAGAATAAGTAGCTTACAGTTACCTGATCCCCCTGATTCCAAAGGTAATTTATCATCATCTTCAACGTTATCATCACCGTCATCATCATCATCACCACCATCATTATCATCAATATCATTGTTATCAATGTCAATACTACGGTCTTTATTACTGTATATTTAATAGGCCTTCATTTTGTATATGTTTATATTTGATTGGTATTCCCACATTATTCTGAAAAAAGCATCCTAACTTAAAGGGTTATCCTCTGCTATGTCTGGTTTAGTTATGTATGGTAAGTATTTATAAAGATTGGATTTAGTTCATGATTGTTTATCTTGTGAATGTATATTGTTAATTTTATATTATGACATAGCAATAAATAGTAGATTACGATTGCATAGTTAAAATTTGTAACTGTCACACATTAATCAACATATGTGCCATGTTTGATTTTTTAATATTAGTGAAATGAAATATTTCTTATGTACTTGCAGACAACTGGTATTCTGCTTGCACAGCATGTCTGCAGTATGTTAAGATGATCACAGGTGACCCTAGGTCAATGGCACCATTAATTAACAGGTGAGGCACGATGATGCAGCATTAATTGTTTAACCATTTTTTATTTAAAGTCAGGCTCCGGAGGAAAAAAATGTTTTGATATGTTGTAGAACTGATTTTTCTAAGACAGAAAAAAGTTGTTTGACAAAAAACTGTGGAACGGTGAATGAGATACAGATTTTTTAATATTTAAAAACTGGGGGAATAAGGTGTAAAAATGGGCAGTTACGCCCCTTTTGCCCCCAGTTTTTAAATATTAAAAAATCTGTATCTCATTCACCTTTCCCCAGCTTTTCGTTAAACAACTTTTTTCTGTCTTAGAAAAATCAGTTCTACAACATATCAAAAATTTGTTTTCCTCCGGAGCCTGACTTTAAGGTCAGAAAATGTAGTAACTAGTTCATATGTTCTGTAACGGAAGTAATAAATAATTTGAAGAGTTGCCAAATAGAGCGCCAGCAATTCTACTCAGTTTGAAGGTTTTAGTGCTGCCCTTTTTCAAAAGCAGTGCTAACGCAATGCTGCCGCATATTACAAATTACATTTGCGATTCCTTTATACTTACAGGGTGAAGAGACTTTTAGAGAGAACAGAACATGATTTTGAGAACACATGCTACTTTAGTTTTGACGAGAGTGGCTGCGTTCCGACTGCCGATCATATACCTTGGATCAAAATTCTGGAGTTGTGTATTAGCCATAAGTTAGCGATGCTACCAGAAACATTGCAACAGCAGGAAGGTAATGTTAACACAGTAAATAACCGGAGCATGTGTGTTTAAAAATTTAGTGGATTTTTTTTTTTTTGACCATCAGCTGATATTCAGGGGCCCACTTTAAAGCCCCATTCCCGGCAAAATTTCAGTTTTTAAGAAAAATCTAATTTTTGTATAATGTTATAAAGATTTATAAA